CAGTAGGTTAAATGGGGACCATTTACAGAGAAGGAGAGCTAAGGGAAGAACTTTGGTGACAACATCCAGAATTCTGTTCTCAGTATAAGTTTAGTATGTGGCTTCAACACTTGGCTGCGGCCTTCTGTGCCTTCAGTTCTAGTGCTTAATTGTTGTTGGGATTAAATAATATGTATATGCAAAATGCTTAGAATGTGTCTGCTCAATATTGAGTACTCAACATATGCTACCTTTTCTTTTCATGTAGCTCTTTAGATAGTTATGTATCTAAATGAAAAAATAGCCAAACAAAAGGAAGAAAACCCAACATTCTCTTTGCTGTTGAAACTTATGATTCCATCAAAAAGACTCCAAATGTGATTGGATATGAATTTATACATAAAAAAGATTTAAAATACTGGCTTAGCAGATCCTTAGTGTTAGAAAGGATCATCAGTCATCTAGTTCAAGGTTTTCTCATAGGCAGTTCATGAATCCTTAGAAAATGTAGGCAACACGGCAATTCTCTGGGTGCATGTACACTTGCACATATGTGTATTTCTGTTTCTTGTCAGAGAGTCTGAGGCTTTCATGACACCCTCACAGAGTCTGAGTCTCAGAAAGGCCAAGCCCTGCTGGTGGTGAGCACCATTCCATGAACAGAACCCCAGATTTGCTGCTCCTGACTTCTAGTGTGACTTTTATCAAATCCTTCTCTCTAAACCTCAGGACTGCTTTTTATTTCTCCTAGAATTGTTATAAAGCCCCAACAAAAGCACTTTTGAATCATAAAGTGTCCTCTAAATGTACAGCTGTGGCACTGAACTGTTAGAAAACTGCAGCTAGGCAGGGTGCTTGAGTGGTCTGCTTGAGAGCTGACAGCAGAGCCCTGACACCCCCATCTCTCAAGGCCCACTCAGTGCACTGACCCCTCAATAAGGGGCCACAGCTTTTTTTGAGAACAAAATGGCCCCATACCAAGACCATTCAGTGGAAAAAGCATAGCCTTTTCAACAAGTGGTGCTGGGGTAACCTGACATCCATGTGCAAACAACTAATTCAGACCTCTAACCCATAACATACATAAAAATCTTCATGTTCTTGAGTTCAGCAAAGCATTCTAAAATATTACACCAAAAGTACAAACAACAAACAAAAAATTAGATGAATTGGACTTTTCTACTTCATAGGACACCATTAAGAAAGTGAAAACTGTTTGTACACCTTAAATTTATACCATGTTATATGTTAGTTATATCTCAATAAAGCTGGGGGGAAAAGTAAAAAGACAACTCTCGTAACGGGAGAAAATTGCAAGCCATGTATCCGGTAAGAGATTTTTATCCAGAATATACAAAGAACTTTCATAACTCAATAATAAAAAGACAACCAATCTTAAAAATGGGTAAAATATCTGCATAGACATTTTTGCAGATAAGATATACCAATGGCCAATAAGCACATGAAAAGATGCTTAACATCATTAGTCATCAGGGAAATGCAAATCAAGACCACAATGAGAAATTTGTGTGGAACCATGATAACCAAAGCAAAATCTTGAGAAAGAACAAAACTGGAGGCATCATGCTTCTTGATTTCAGGCTGTATTATAAAGTTGTAGCAATCAAAACAGTATGGTATCAGCATAAAAACAGACACATAGATCAGATGAACAGAATAGAGACCACTGAAATAAACCCATACATAGATGATTGATAATTTATGATTAAGGATTCAAGAATATACAATGGCAAAAGGACAGTCTCTCCAATAAATGGTATTGGGAAAACTGGACAGCCAGATGCAAAAGAATTAAACTGGACCACTTTCTTACACCAAACACAAAAACTTACTCAAAATAGATTAAAGACTTAAATGCAAGACCTGAAACCATAAAACTCCTAGAAGAAAACACAGGTGGTAACGTCCTTGACATTGGTGTTGGTGATGATTTTTTGGATCTCACACCAAAAGCAAAGGCAACAAGAGCAAATATAAACAAGTGGGACTACATTAAACTAAAAAGCTTCTGCACAGCGAAGGAAACCATCAACAAAATGGAAAGACAACCTACTCAGTGGGAGAAAATATTTGTAAATCACGTATCTGGCAAGGGGCTAATATCCAAAATATATAAGAATTCATACAACTCAATAGCAAAACAAACAAACAAAAAACCCCAAATCAATCTAATTTAAACATGGGTAAAAGATCTGAATAAACATTTTTCCAAAGAAGACATACACATGGCCAAGAGGTACACAAAAAGGTGCTCAACATCATTAACCATCAGGGAAATGCAAACCAAAACCACAATGAGATATCACCTCACACCTGTTAGAATAGCTATCATCAAAAAGTCAAGAGAGAGCAAGTGTTGGTGAGGTTGTAGAAAACAGGGAACCTTTGTGCGCTGTTGGTGCAAATACAGGAATGCACTGGTGCAGCTACTATGGAAAACAGTATGGAGTGTCCTCAAAAAATTAAAAATGGAACTGCCATAAGACCCAGCAATTCCTAAGGAAATGAGAACACTAACTGGAAAAGATAGCTGCATCCTCATGTTCATGGCAGCATTACTTATAGTAGCCAAGATACACGAGCAAGCTAAGGATCCATCGATGGCTGAAGGGATAAAGTAGGTGTGGTATGAGTATATGTGTGTGTGTGTGTGTGTGTGTGTACCATTGTTTATATATATACACAATGGAATATTACTCAGTTATAGGGAAGAAAGAAGGTCTGCCATTTGCAACAACATGTAAGAATCTTGAGGGCATTATAAGTGAAAAAGGTCAGACAGAGAAAGACAGCTATTGTATGATTTTACCTATATGTGGAATCTGAAAAAGGAATGGAGAAAACAAACATGCTCATAGATACAGAGTTGCCAGAAACAAGGGAGTGGAGGTGGTGGACAGTAGGTGAAATGGGTGAAGGTAGTCAAAAGGTACAACTTGTAAAGTGATTGAGTCATGGACATGTATAGTATGGTGACTGTAGTTAATACTGTATTGTATTATTTGCAAGTTGCTAAGAGAGTAGATCTTGAAGTTATCAAAAAACTTTGTAACTGTGTAGTGATGGATGTTGACTTATTGTGGTTATTCATGATATATAGATAAATATACATGATATATACATTCATGATATATACATAAATCATTACATATACTTGAAACAAAGATAATATTATATGTCAATTATACCTTAACAAGACAAAAGAAAACCCCAGTGATATACAGTTTCACACTCCCTTGGATGTCTAAAATTAAAAAGACCACAGTAAGTATTGGGTAGGGGTGGAACAGTTAGAATACTTATTTACTGCTGGTGAGAATGTGAAATGGTCCAGCCACTTTCAAAAAGAGTGTGGCAGTTCCTCAAAATGTTACATGTTGTATACAAATGGTACGTGTCCAAGAGAAATGAAAATATGAAATCAGTCACAAAAGGCCACATATTATGATTCCATAAATATGAAATGTCCAGAATAAGTCACTGCATAGATACAGGAAGTAGGTTGGTGGCTGAGGGGTTTGATGGGAAGATAGCAAGTGATTGCTAATGGGTACCGAGTTTCTTCTGGGGATGATGATCACATTGTGGAATTAGTTGGTGATGATGATTGCACAATGCTGTAAATATACTAAAAGCCAGTGAGTCGTAAACTTTAAAAGGGTGAATTTTATGGTATGTAGATTTTATTTGAAAAGAATAAAGTAACCCCAAATTGTGCTTTCTTGGCTTTGAAAGATAGGGCATGAAACATACTTCTATCCTGTTTTATCTCACAACTGCCGTGAGTTTTACTGACAGGCTTAGATGACAAGGGTGTAGTGGTCTTGAGTCAGGTCCGTGGTCAGCTGTCACCTAAGTTCCCTAAATACCCTGTACGTAGACAAGGCTGCAGCTTGTGCACAGCTGACACTCAGGACTAGCAGCAGTGTAGGCCAGTAACCTCACCCCAGAGCCGGGTTTTTCCAGGTGAGGATTGAGGTCATTCACCAGGCAGCGGGGAAGCATCTCTGCATTGTGCCCAGCTGTATTTGGCCTGTAAATAAACCAGCAACAAAGATTTTCAGCCTTACTATTTTGGGACATTTTAATATTAGGTTAACTTGTTTATTAAGTTTAGACATAGTTTAAGAAAAAAACATATCAGTCACATTTATTTTTAAGGAATATGTTAAGAAACTGCAAAATACTGAATTATTCCCTAACACCCTCTTTTTAGAAATCATTCAATTTTATACATTAGCATCTTACTATATTCAATGTGTCTCATAATTAAACGATTATATATACATGTAATATAGTAAAAAGTAATTCTTGTATTTTAGTTAAAAATAGAAAATAAAACAATCTTTTAAAAAATCAACTGTGTCTAAAGCACATGTTCTCAAACTTCTCCGACAGTAAAAGTCAAATGAGACTCATTATAAATGTGGATTTTCTAGGCTTCCATCCCCAAGAGATTGGTTCAATCTGAATTTTTAGAAACCCCCCAGATGATTCTAAGGAGCAGGGTTTACATTTTGAGAAACACTGCCTTAGGGACTTCAGCCTAGAATTGTTCTTCATTGGGGCACCTTGGTGGCTCAGTTGGTTAAGCATCTGCATTCGGCTTAGGTCAAGATCCTGGAGTCCCAGGATGGGGCCCTGCATCAGGCTCCTTGCTCAGCGGAATTTGCTTCTCCCTCTGCCCCTCACCCCGCTTGTGTTCTCTCTTGCTCGCTCTCTCTCTCTCTCAAATAAATAAATAAAACCTTTTTTTAAAAAAAAAAGAATTGTCTTCATTTTAACATAGGTAATTAATAGGTATTTCTTTAGATATTTTCAGCTATTTGATGTTAGAAATAGATGACATTTACACTCTTATTCTGCTATTAGAAAATAATATTTTGTCACAAGCATAACATTTCTAAGTATGTCAAATGTAAGATGTGTTTGTTACCACTGTCAGCATCTTTGTTGCTGCTACCCATTAATGTGGTACTGTCTTCACCTGTTATTTGCAGATTTCTTTTGACCTGGCTGAATATACTGCAGATGTTGATGGAGTTGGCACTTTACGGCTTTTGGATGCAGTTAAAACCTGTGGCCTTATCAACTCTGTGAAGTTCTACCAAGCCTCAACAAGTGAACTCTATGGGAAAGTGCAAGAAATACCCCAGAAGGAGACTACTCCTTTTTATCCTCGGTCACCGTACGGTGAGAATGGGTACAACCTTGTGTATGCGCCATGTTCTCTTGGCCTGGGGCATTCATGTGCTTCTGCTTTAATTCCATTCCTGTCTCTCGTCTAAAGTCATTTGACTGCGAGATTAACATTAAGATTAGACTAAAATGACTAGACATGGGGAAGCATAACGTTATACACTGCTCACTCTATAAATATTTGCTGCCATTGCCCCCAGGGTGAAATTACCACTTCACTTCAGTGATCCATGTTCATCCAGCCCTTCCATACACATCACTTTGAAAGGAAAATGAGACCCACATGACTTTTTTTATGTAACTGTTGTGAGATTTGCTGAAATGATAGGTTTCGTATTTTTTATTTCCCCAATGGAAGTTTCTCTGGGTTCAAATATTAAAAAAAAGGGGGGGTCTGTTACATCTTATGTATTTGTAAAAAGAGTATTCATGAAAGACTTAAGTGATCAAATTTCTAAGCATCTAGAATATTAAGATTTCATATTTTTTTTCACTTTCTAATTCCTTAAAACTAGGAAAAAGGAAATAAGACCTTAGGTCAACTTGATACATTGCACACGCTATCATCAAATCAGTTAGATTGTGGAAGACAGAACTGTGGGTATTACAAAAGTAAAAATAATCTTAAATATTTTCTTGTGCACATGATTAATTGGCAAAGGAGCCTTTAGTCTTTGGCTTTGACTCATATTTTTCTAACTTAATATATTACACATTAATTTTTGCAAGTTGTTACTGTTTAAGATGAGTGAAAATCACTGTCTTTTATAATAAGATACCACCTTTTATAATAATAACTGTCTTTTATTTGCTTTTAAAAAAATTTTTCCAACAGGGGCTGCTAAACTCTATGCCTATTGGATTGTGGTGAATTTCCGAGAGGCATATAATCTCTTTGCAGTTAATGGCATTCTCTTCAATCATGAAAGTCCCAGAAGAGGTCAGTAAATATGTTAATGGACAAGACAATTTTAGACTTTAACAATAACTAAAAAAGTTGTATGTTAACATTCTGCATATGTACTGTATAGACTGGGGAAAACGTCACATCTACTTTTAACTACAGTTGGCCCTTGAGCAACAGGGGTTTGAACTGCACAGGTTCACTTTTACACGGATTTTTTTAGTACAGTACTATAAATGTATTTTCTCTTACGATTTTTTTAATATTTTCTTTTTTCTAGCTGTTTATTGTAAGCATACAGTATATAATATATACACAAAATATGTGTTGATCAACTATGTTATTGGTAAGGCTTCTAGTCAGCAGTAGGCTATTAGTAGTTAAATTTGGGGGAGTCAAAGTTATATGCATATTTTCTACTGCATGGAGGGTCACCACTCCTTACCCATCCATATTGTTCAAGGGTCAGCTATATTATGAATGTCAGAAGTGGTAAACGAAGAAATGTAAATCCAGATTTAATTACTTAGTATGTTTGCTAGGTTTTTTATTCAACATGAAAACTAAATACTGTTCTTATTTTACCATTTTCATTGGTAGGTCTTATCAAGCACGTTTTCAACCTAAGTATTAGGAAGTTTCCAAATGAATGGAAAGGAATAAGTAGTATACTAATGCTTGTTTCCAGAAGTCACTCTTATGCATGTAGACTCAACTTGTAGAATTTATATATTTTTTTTACTTTGAGTCTGTTAGATATTCAGTATTTTTTCTTTATATTCCATTTAAAGAGACATCCAGAAATAACTGTGCTTCTAGAGTAAATATTAAATTAAATTTGAAATCAGTGCTTATATTTAGAATCATTATCACTTTTTTTCAGAAAACCATATTTTGTTTGTATTGGCTTGTTTGCTTTTCAGAGTTGCTGTTGAGACTGTTAGCAACATGCTAGCTTTTCTGTTTCAAATATTAGGTTTTAAATAAGAAAATATATTCTTATCATTATTTCTGATTTGCTGAAGCATGAGAAATCTTTACAAAACATGTGTACTCTTCACAAAATGAAAATTATCTGTACAATCTAATTCTAAGATGTTTTATAAAATTTCACTATCATTTAGCCTTTTAGCTGGAGAATCAATAAAAAGTCCAATGTTATAAGTTGTTTCATGTGCAACAACTAGTAATGCTTATAACTTTTTCAATGAAATTTTATGTGACTTTATAGCTACATAATTAACCTACAAGTCATGAGGAAAGAGTAAAGTGACAGATTTATAAAGGTATCTTTAATGTCAATACATTTTTATTTTATAATTGCGTAAGTTAAAAATTCCCATGATACGCTGTTAAAGCATAAGAACCCAGTCTGTCATGCCTGTTGTCCCAAAAGAAAACAACTTTACAAACCGCCAGAGAGATTTCTTTAATTAATTTTGTGGTTCTGGGTGTCCTTAGTAGAGGGAAAAGGAAAAAGGAAGACCTTAGCTCTCCTTGCCCACAGCATTTGGTATGCAGGATGCTCAAGGCACCTGTTCAGTGAATGATAGTCTCTGCCTCTTTCCTCATAAACATGTTTATACCCATTGTTTGGGTTTCTGTGCTTTTCCCCTCTCAACTTCTCTACCTGCAAAACAAAATAAATAAGTAAAAATCAATTGTTTTGGATCAGGTTAGGATAGGGAAAAGCATTCTTAGTTGCAGAAGGAAAAGATACATTAAAATATGACCTTCCCTCAAAAAAAAAAAAATCCTCTATTTGCATATGTTGTAATGAGGACTAATTTTTGCCTTTGTCAGTGTTAAACACTTCTTTAAAAAAATTATTTTAAAATTAATACTTCTTTCTTCCCTCTCACTCCCTCTTACTCCCAGCTCTGTCCTCAGGCCCACTAAAACTCCTTCAAAAACACTCCAAGTGTCTTTATCTTAAACATACAGACAGGGTTATTCTATACACAATATTCTACATCGAGGGCTTTTGTTAAATGTTTGTTAAAAAACTTGACCTTGTAGCATACACCATTCTGTTTTGTTTTTATATCTGAAAATCAATATTTAATTTTTTATTTCATTTAATATCGAATAATGAAAAATAATAGTATATGTGGAAATGATGTAATATTTATTTGTTAAGATATCTAATACTTAATAGAGCATTTTTTGGAAGTTGGAAATTAATTTTCATATTAACTTAATCCTACCATAATACTATTGTTTTGTCACAGTTATTATTTTCCAAAGAGATTCTCTGCCAGACTGAGAATTCCTTAATGATAGGTCTGTATTATATTTTTGAATCTTCAGCTTATAAAACAATACCTATCTGCTAATAAACATTCAATAAATATTTTTAAATGAGTGAATGAATGTATATCTCATGTTTTAGTAAAATGTTACTGACTTAAAGGTAGGCAGTCTGAATTAGGAGTTATATAAAAGTTTTAAATAAATGTTTTAGTGGTTTCATGAATAAGGGTGTAGCTGAAGGCAAACTATTTTGAAGTAAAGATTCACCCTGATATACTTCAATAAATAGATAAACAAGATTTCAAATTAATAATCTTAGTCTATATACCTATAATTGCTGTGGTACTTTAAGTTTATTTTCTTAAGTAGGTCGAACATTTATACATCAGTCCTCTTTTGCCCTGTTAACACAGTGAGCAAATACTCTTTTTAGATAGCACAGTGGTAAACCTCAATCTAGTTCTAAGGTATATTATCACAAAAGTCCAATTAGTAGAGCCCAAACTGATGCAGCCTTTTTTGGGATGTGTACTTTTTCTCTAACGAAAAATGTTTGACAAGGCCCCTTTTGACTGCAGGAATAGCATTCCATGAGAATTTCTAACTTTAAAAAGTATGGAAGAAGTATTTTTCAACATAAAGGTATTCTAGACCAGAGGTTGACAGATAGTGGCTCATGGGCCAAATCCAACCCACCATCCTATTTTTGTAAATAAAATTTTATTGGAGCACAGACATATCCATCTGTTTGTATATTGTCTATGGCTGCTTTCACAGTAGAGTCCTGTGGCCTGCAAAGCCTAAAATATTTTCTGTCTGGCCCTTTAAGAAAACATTTGCTAGCCTCACCTATAGAATAATTAGTTCCTCAACATCAAGAAACTTTCAGTTAGGTTTGATATTTCCCCCAAGGTAGCAAGATAGTCTTATGCAAGGGATTTCCAACAAATATTAAAGTCAAGGAGAATCGATAGTTAAGACATCCATAAAGAGAATTCCTGAAGTATTTGGATCCATTGGGGTTCTGTTATGCTCTATTGAAGGACTGAGGTATAGAACCAAATAAACTAGGAACTGACTGAAGATCAGGAGCATGGTTCATTACAGCAACCCTACCTCCTGAGTTTGACATTTTTCATTACATTTTTGACTATATTATATGTCTTTTCTCTATTCCAAATCCTTTATGGTTTTCTTTTTTTTTCTTTATTTATCTGGGAGAGAGAGAGCATGTGCGAGGAGGGGAAGGAGCAGAGGAAAAGAGAGAGGGAGAGAGAGAATCTCAAGCAGACTCCCCACTGAGCATGGAGCCCGACTTGGGACTCAATCTCATGACCCTGAGATCATGACCTGAGCCAAAACTAAGAGTCGGACGCTCAACCGACTGTGCCACCCACGCTTCCCCTTTATGGTTTTCTTTTTAAGTGTACTTATTTTGCTTTGTTATGAGAAGATTATAATGCCTCTAAAGATACTTGGGATCACCTGTGTTTGGCACAGAATTAACCATTGGAGATTATGGTAGAGAATAAAGCCAGTAATCCAAAGACTTGGGCTCTGTTTCCCATTCAACCATGCAGTCATTCTTTCAATTAAGGCAAGATGGTTGATATGCTCATGCCTTAGGTTTGCTTTTTTATAAAATGGAGGCACTTGAGTAATATTTACTACACATTAATAATGAACAGTAGTTAAAATTCTTGACTTATTTGAATTTCCCTGATGGCTAATGATGTTGAACATTTTTTCATGTGTCGTTAGCCATTTGTATGTCTTTTTTGGAAAAGTATCTGTTCATGTCTTCTGCCCATTTTTTGACTTGATTATTTGTTTTTTGGGTGTTGAGTTTGAGAAGTTCTTTATAGATCTTGGATACCAGCCCTTTGTAGTGTCATTCGCAAATATCTTCTCTCATTCCATGGGTTGCCTCTCTGTTTTGTTGACTGTTTCCTTTGCTGTGTGGAAGCTTTTTATCTTGGTGAAGCCCCAAAAGTTCATTTTCACTTTTGTTTCCCTTGCCTTTGGAGACGTGTTTTGAAAGAAGTTGCTGTGATAGGTATTAAGGAGGGCACATATTGCATGGAGCACTGAGTGTTAAATGCAAACAATGAATTGTGGATCACTACATCATAAACTAATGATGTACTGTATGGTGACTAACATAACATAATAAAAAATTATTTAAAAAATAAGTAAAATAAAATTCTTGACTTATATGTCCATAAAGGGATGAAAATGTATGATATGTATCATGTTCTGTGAATACTATGTATTATATAACAATATTCACCGATATTCCCAAGGTGCTTTTATTCGTAAGCACTCAACTTTTTAAAATAAATGTACTATTTTTTAAATTAAAGTGATAGTTGCTTTATGAATAAATTGTACAAAATTGCACATGTATCTGAAAAGCTTTTTCCTTTCATATTTCAAGTTTCTTCAAACTTGAAATTTTGTATGTTTCATTTACGTATCTCTGTAGCTATATGTACATAAATACAGTGTTCTGTTTGCCACAAATGTGGCAAATGTGGCTATGGTGACACCTTTCTTTTGGAAATACAGATTTATGTATTTTCTTTTTTTTATATTTTATTTATTTGACAGGGAAAGAGAAAGAGAGCACAGCAGGGTGAGTGGCAGGTAGAGGGAGAGGGAGAAGCAGGCTTCCCGCGGAGCAGGGAGCCCGACGCGGGGCTCGATCCCAGGACCTTGAGATCATGACCTGAGCCGAAGACAGACGCCCAAAGACTGAGCCACCCAGGCGCCCCCATTTCATC